CTGTGTTATGTGTATGTAATCACTAAAGAAAGTATATATATATATATATATATATATATATATATATATATATATGCATTTAGGTTTATTAAATTTCAGGGTTGCCTTCATCTCAATTTAATTATAGCCTGAAAGACATTGAAGGACATATAGACATTTTTAATATATTTGAAAATATTTGCAGTGTACAAGTCCATGCATTCAAATAAGTGGCTATAGGGTGATTGCAAACTGTTATTTAATCATTTTGGTATTTACCTAGCACTCCATTCCCCACCCGACCCATTGCAACCCACCTACAAAAGTGGGACGTGACCCAAGTCTATTTAACAAGGGATGCCCATACGTGTGTATATAGGCCAAGGAGGAAAACTGTCCCGTTCTCATGATCACTGTTATGCTAGCTCTGGTATCTGCCAACCATGCTTCTTTAGTACAATGGGGGAGGTATTGCTACAGAGTTGGAAACCCCAGGACCAGGCTTTTCACATTTTGATCCCAACCTGAAGTAAACAAGCCATTTTTATGCATTTAGTTTTCTACAGTACTTGCTTTTTGAACTAAACATTGGTATTTCAGTCAGTTTTCCCTTGTTTTCATCATTTCACACCAAGAAGGTAATAATGCCACTAAGACGCAAGGGGTTACTGTGTGTGGAAGAGAATGAGGATACTTTAGTGAGGAGAAAAGACAATAAAGGAACAGGACTCAAGAAGACAGAAGATGGCAATTGACGTTGCATTTAAAGTTTTGAAGATTGTTATGTGGCAGGGAAACAAAAAATCGGAAGAAAGTTCCAGACGGGAGAAGTGCAAGAAAAGAAACTATTAGAATAGAACTAAAAGTAAAATGATGAGACCTAACAGCCAATCTAGTTGTATGTATAAATTCACACAATTAAGGTATCAAGGAGGTGAGCTCATGAGAACAGTGCTATAAAAATATTTATAGAAAAGTGTCATACAGGAATAAAGTATCCGTTGCTGACACTTGAGTTTGAACATGGATCACCAGAGAGCAAGCACAGTTGACCTCATCATGAAATAATTAGATCACGTGATGAGTAAAGGAAAAAATATATATATATATATATATATATATATATATATATATGGGAATTAGCGGTGTCTGACCGAGTATTGTTTGAAGGCGTTATTATTATTGTATCTGTGATTTACAAAGTCTCTTCTATAAACAAGTATTACAATAAAAAGACTGAAGGAAGCCATGTCACATGTCATTTTGCCGAGAATCTCAATATATATAGTAATATTCAATGCACAGACAAATAGTAGATTTAAAAATCTGCAAAATTGATTATGATGAAAAAAAAATTGTCTTGCATAAGTCAGTGAACAAACCTTTTTAGCAGCTGACCAAGGACTTGATTCAGTATAACTGCTCCACTTCATGTCTGTGGAAAATGTGATATCAAGAAGATGCAATGTGTTGGTCTCTTGGGGGTTAGCATCAGCCATGTTGATGGAGGGAAAAAATTATTGTCTCCGAGGATTAAAGAAATATAAAAATGTGACAAAAATGTTTTTTTCACAGTTTTCAATGTTAGAAGCCATGAGATGCAAATTTTACTAAATTAAAAAAGTCTACTGATATACACTATTTACATTATTCGGACTATTGCCCTCATCTTTGTCACCATGTTTATCACAATATTTCAGCCATTGTACACTCCGGCTTCTTCAGGTGGTCGGAATGTCGAACTGAACTCTTTATTTCACTCACTGGAGTAGACTGTTCTAGTTCCATGTGCCATGTCTAATGGATGTCAGTTATTTCCTGTTAATTCCCCACTCAAAGTTCTCCACCACCTTAACCAGGTATTGAACTCACACTCTTTAAGTCCTGTCACTGGATCTAACTAACACCTTTATCCACTGTGAGGCCATGTGTCCTTGTGCCAGGACATCTGTGTATAACAGCAAAATTTCTGGAAGACATTAGGTTTTATAAACCAGTGTAATAAAATCTCAGAAATATAGCCAGAGAATAAAAATTGAATTCATAGAAAAAAAACTGCAATATGAGCTCTAGTAAAAAGTATGCAATGAAAACAAGCATTAATTTTAATTAAAAATTGTCAGAATTAACTATTTGCATATAAGAAATATTTGGCATTCATTGGTTGAATAGATAGCATTATTATCCTCATATTTTTAATGCAGTTTTTAAAAATAGGGTTTTTCAAGTTCACTGTTATTTGCCTTTTCAAATATTGTGGAGAACTTGGAGGGGAATTACATGCCCTTCAGTATCTGTCTATATTTCTGAGATGAGGTATTATGTACACTATTTAATATAATCAGACTATTATCCTCATATTTGTATATTTCTGAGATGATATTTATCACTAATGTTTCTTTGTCGCCATATTTTAATCAGCCGTTTTTAATCTGAGACAATGATTGCATATTTATCATGTATATTATTATTTATATATTTGTATATAGGTAACCAGATGAAAAAATAGTAAACACTACTCCTATATTCTATATTTTATCCCTTGAAGGAGTTCTTAGATTTTATATTGAGAAAACATTGAAAATAGAGCAATACTTGACTTGAAATTTAAATTTAAAAGTTTTTAGAGTCTGATGTATAGCTGGCCACTTGTTTCTAGTTATGTCTTATGACTATTCAATCTTTATTGATGACACCTGCTCAAGTACATTTCTGTTTTTGCAATGACCACAGAGGCAAACTGTAGTTTATACTGCAAATATACTGAGCAGAATTGGCATAATCAGTTCTTGAACTGATTCTTTGATTTCTTTTTTACGGCTTATCAACCTTTTGCAGGTTATTGAAAGTCAGAAAATATTTTTAGATTGTAAGAATTTTTTGAGAGATAATGGTGATTTACTTACACAAGTCCTACTAATTAACCCATAGCTGGGGGAGAAGAAGTGTATTCATAGCTTTCCCAAGGGCATTTGTGCATAAATGAATATAGCAAACCTGACTGGAATTGGAACTCAGCTTTGTGATTTCCAATTCTAACTTGTTATCTATAACACCACCTGCACATCCAAGTTTACTGCAGCTGATATTCCCAAGTGGTTACCCATTTAGGTACAGACCACAGTTCTTGAACAAGATCAGTATGCTCAAACCCTCAGTCATGATGACTTGTAAATTATAAGTATAACCATCAATGGCTTCCAAACAGTTTCATCAACCCAATTTCATTTCTTAGACTTGAGTAAAACGATAGTTTGTTTCTACATATTTCTCAGTAGAGCCGTTTACTGGGATCATCTCCCCAAGTTCAATATTAGCAATAGGTCACCTCCTTGACTGACAAGTTGACCATAGGTATTCAAGTCCTGGTCTTATGATTGGAACGCTAATGTTTTAAGCATTTAGCTATATGCACAGTTTGATGTATCTAAAATACATAGATAGTATCAATCAGTTGTGTTTATTTTTATTTTTGTGACTATCATTTTCTATGGTACCTAGATATTATGGATTTAAATGCAGTACTGGATTAGCAATAAGGTCTTATCATATATAGTTGAATTGGCTATATATAACTGTAAATTCTATGCTAACAGTTTCTTTTATGCCATTCCTTGCTTGAGGAACTTGCTTCCACCTTCTTGCTTTCCAGATAAGTTTATTCTACAAAAGTTTAGATGCAATGTCTATCATTATTGATTATTTATCTATTGTTTTTAATAATGTTTCTATTTCTAATTCTTTCACATCCAGTAATCCCTTGTATCATAGTAGCTTTACTGCCTTACATAGGTTGAATTCAAAGAAAAAAAATATTGCTTTTTATCAGTTTAAAGAAGTTCTTTTGAGGCCCAAAACATGTAATAGGGGCCTTTTTTTCTTTTTCTTTTGTCATTAAATTAGTTGCAACCTAGGGTAAGTTACTGAATAGAATAATCACACAAAGGTTGGTAATGAACGATAATACTTAGGACAAGAACAACACAAATAAGATTCGCCAGTGGCGCGTAGTAGTCAACTGAATTCCACAATGAATCTCCAATTGCAGACCACAGACCAACACATACATTATTCACTACTGTATTTATGTGAATGGAGACATACCCATTATCGTCCGTAGGTATGCTACAACAAAATTTTCCATGATTTATTTCAGCTACATTATATATATCATATCATATCATATCTTCAACATTTGTACATAAGTAAGGAAGAATCTTTAGTCTGGAGAATTGGTCTGTTAGTAACCATACCCATGGGACATTAGATTTCCGATATGGTAGCACTTCAGCAAGAAGGTGATGGCTGATGTGTGAGGTTTCAAGTTGATCGGACCAACGCTGACCTTCATCAGCAAATGACCGCTGGTCAGCATCATACCGCCCCCTGCCCCTACAATCACCCCGTCTTCTCTGCATTATTTCTGTCATCATCATTCATGTCTGCAGCACTGCTTGCTTGGCTTGACCAATCGACAACTTCTCCTGCACTTGGTACGTACAATTAGTGAGTGACTGATGCCCCAACACCAGTTCTGACTTTGTTCGCTTTCTTCCTTACCAAACCCCAGAGGGTCAGGAGTAGTGGAGGGTGACAACTGCTTTTCTGATTACAAGCAAATACCAATATTTCTTCCTACTCTGTGTAAGAATTAGAAGTATGGTTGTAGTAGCAGGGATGATGGGAAAGACGAAGGTGATAGAAATATTTTTAAAATGTGTCACACCATGACGTAATCAAGCATAATAAACTTGCTTTCAGGATTTCTGTCAATAAAACAAAGCTCTAATTTATTTATAGTCATTTTTCATGACTTTAATATCTATTTGTGCATATAGATCTATCTATCTTAGTCTCTTCATATCTATCCATCTATATAAAAGTTTCTGACTATTCATATTTTCTATCTATCTTACTCTTTGCATTTCTATCCGTCTCTTCTTAATGACTATCTTAGTTTCAGCTTTTCTGTCTGCTTGTGTGTCAATAGAACAAAACTAAATTATTTATAATCATTTTTCATGAATTTAATATCTATCTATCTATCTATCCCTGTCTGTTCATATCTATCTATCTATCTATCTATCTATCTATCTATCTATCTATCTATCTATCTATCTATCTATTCCTGTCTGTTTATATCTATCTATCTATCTATCTCTATCCCTGTCTATTCATATCTATCTATCTATCCCTATCTCGGTTTCAACTTTTCTGTCTGCCCATGTATAAAACAAAACTAAATTATAATCATTTTTCATGAATTTAATATCTATCTATCTATCTATCCATGTCTATCTATCTATCTATCTATCCCTATCTTGGTTTCAGACTTTTTTCTGCCTGTATCCTAAATTATAATCATTTTTCATGAATTTAATAAATCTAAACCTAAATTATTTATCTATCTATCAATCTGGTATTAAAACAAACCTAAATTATTTATCTATCTCAATCTGGTTTCAATTTGTTTCTGTCTCTTTCTCTATCTTTTTATCCATCTCTGTTCATATTTATCTTTCAAGTTATTTATATATCTTTAATATGGCAATTTCTAAAGAATCTAATTCTTTCAAAATGTTTTTTACTTCTTCGATATGAAACTGATCAGATATGCTTTTTAAGAAAATCTGAATGAATGATTATGCTTTAAAGGCGAATAGAAACTTAATTGATTTTGAAGCTTTCCATAGCTGAGTGGCTAAAGCACACCAGATTAGATGGTGGTTTCTCTTGCTAAGTGGGACACAGGTTCAAATCCTTCCAGATGGTACATTTTTTTAAGTTTTCTTGTGTGTGCAGGCTGGTAGACAAAACAATTACTTCTTGAAGTAAAACAAAGCCTCCATTGAAATAACATTTAAAGTAATAAAATACCTTTAATTTTTAACATTTAATTTTATTTATTACTATTAATGTTTTATCTCTTAATATTGATATAAAACATTATATTCCAGAAATACCCTAGTTGGCAAAACATTTTTGTTATTGTTGTTCCATATGAACAAAAGGCTTCATTGTGAAACACAAATGCAAAATTGTACTAACTTTTTGAAAATGTTTAAAAGAATCACTAAAAGTACTACACTCTCTTCTTCTTAAAAGAAAAACTGCAAGAAAACTAAAAAACTGTCCTGGGTATGACAATATACTACATCTGGCAGCAAACCCTCTAATCATGATGTTTTGAGGAGCATGGAACCACCTTTTAATTGCTGTTGCTCCTAGCTCCTCCCTGACCTTAGGTGGTAGCACCTTTTAGGGTCTAAGCTATGGGCAAATAAATAATCCCCACACTGGGGTCAAAACACTATGAAAGTAAAAAATACATTTTATAGTAAAAATACCAACAGTACATTTTTACAGAAAGTCGATTTTTGTATTTTTATCAAGACAAATGAGCAATAGAAGGGTATTAATACAGGTGTACATTTGTACATTATACAAGTCAAAAAATTGTTTAGTAACAATAATGATCCTAAGCATACTCCCTTAAAGAATAAATGTTATCTAGAGAGGAAGCACAACAAGGGTAAATTGCAACTCTTCCAGTAGCCTAGTCAGAGCCCTGACCTTAACCCAATTGAAAACTTTTGGGCAATAATGGACAAGGGTGTCCATAATAGGAAAGTTAACACAGAACATGAGCTTTTTCGCAAATCAAAGGAATGCTGGACAAACCTGGTGAAGAACGTTGACTTACTAAAGAATTTAGTCTATAGCATGCCACGAAGAATTAAGGCAGTTATTAAAGCAAAAATTTACCCATCAAAATTCTAAATCATTTTTTGACTTGTATAATGTACATATGTACACCTGTATTCATACCCTGTATTAAAAAATGAATTCTATTACTCACTTGTCTTGGTAAAAATACAAAAATTGACTTTTTATGGGTGCATTCATTTTTTGTCTTGTACTGTGTATACACATATGCAAAAATGCAGACACACATATGTTGCCTGCATTGAATTTACATTTTTATGTGTTTTCTTTTTTCTTATCAATTCAAATTTGTTTTTGTTTTGTTATTTATTTACATTTGTGTTGTGGTAGGATCCATCTAATTTGCATAGTGGAGTGCCGACCATATAAATATGGTTGGTATCGGGAAGAGAGGGGAGGAATCAAGAGATTCAATCCAGAGACTCTTCCCGACTGCGACTAAGTCAACACATTCTCCAGGAACGGTATTCCCAGGAATATACAAAAGACTATATGTAAATATTGTGTACACTTTCTTATTTGAATACATTTTGTTCTAAGTACATTTTGTGTTGCATTATTATTCCATGCATTAGTCAATTTTCAACAATTTGTTATTTACAAAATCTCTTACTTGTTTTCCATTCTGTCTCTGGGTTGGTTTAGAGGTGTTTTTTATTTTGTTTTTGCATTGTCTTTTTTTATTCATTTCTATATTCTTGCATCTTTGGTAAATATCAAAATCTATTGCCACTTGTCAACCATTCTTCAAGACATGGAACATGGTCCACTTGATTCTTGTCTCGTTCTTCTGTGGATTCCATCTTATTCCTGAAGGCATACAAACAGAGTAGTTGTCTGAATCTGAACTAATAATTTTTCCTCCACTATGATGGCTGCTTGTCCAACCAACTAACTGACCAACTGAATTTTCCACCTGATTTTCTTTTTTTTGTTTATTTACTTCATGACTATATATAACTTATCTTTTCTCTTTACTAGAAGGTAGTTTCTCTCTCAGGTAAAAAATGTAAATTAAAGTTTGTTTAATTTTCTTATCCACTTTTGATTTTATTATGTTGTGACTTGGTGAGTGTTATTTCTCTACTTTTAATTTAAAAAAAAAAATTTTTCCCCATTCCCAAGAATATACAATTCCAAAGACAGTAGAAAGGAAAGAATGGAGAATTCATATAAATTGTCTGAGTAAATAAAAAATGAACAGGAATATAGGATAAAAAAAAAATGCTAAAACTTAACTTTGTCTTATTTTGTGGGGGAAAAAAATACATTGCACTCAGCTGAGTCATAAACTCTATGTGTCATTTTCAAGAGCAGTGTTTTTTACAACCACAAACTTTATATTGATATTCAACTATTTTACCTGAAAGAAAGGCAAATATAAACAAATATTAACAACTCTAAATAATAATATAATAATAATAAATAATGGTAATATTAAATAATAATAAATAATAATAATATTAACTAATATTAATTAAATTTACACGCTTTTTATATCCTAGAAATAAACTTGATAAGGCTGGAATGAAACCAGTTGTTTTTTAGCTTTTTAAAATGCCATATAAAATTTACTTATTCCTAGCTATCAAATAATAATAAATAAATACGAAAAAAGAAATAATGATAAATATATAAGTAAATATAAAAAGTATATGCAGGTGGTATAATGGATCATGGCTCGGAATGAGTAATTGGAATGCCAAGTTTAAGATTTAGTTAAGTTCATTATTACTTATGCAAAAATTACCTTTGAGAAAGGTATGAAATCATCTCTTCTTCTCCCCAGCTATGGGTTGAATGGAAATCCTTATTGGACTCTCTTGCCATGGTTGACAAACAGTTTAGGAGAAGGAAATCTCTGAATTCAAAACATATATTAACTATAACATTTTATCCTGGGTCCCCAACTCTTGAAAACAAAGATGGTAGAAAATATAGTTTTAATGGGAAAAGTAATATTAATTGTTTCTTTATGAGGAAACATTTGGCATTCATTGATTATACAGCTCATATTACTTTTGGTTGAAATTTATAAAATATCCCTGTTAAAGCAATTTTGTAGGAAAATAGATTTCTCAAGTCCAGTAGCTGTTATTGCTCTTTCCAGTACTGAATGGGAGTTTCCTTCTTTAATTTTTGTTTGGTATAGTGTTGAATATCAATATTTTGATTAGTCATTATTTTCTCTTTGAGTTAAATATGACATCCATTTTAGTTTTTGCAGTTGTTGATAGTCCTCTAGTGATGTAGTTTCCCTTATTTGGTAAACTTTGTTATTCTATAGCGCCAGTCCACAACAAAGATTCACCAAGATCTATAGGTATTACTCACTCAAAGACATTTTTAACCATTGATCTTAGAAAGTATTTGAATACAGTGGACAGTTTAGATATTTCTTATGAGTTTGGCATCATACGTGACGACCACATGAAAGTCTCTATCTAACAACGATATTTGACTTGAATTTAAAAATAAGAGTAGTCACTAAGATCAGGACTGAGTGGTAACAGTCTGTTCCATGCTTGAAGGCAATCTCCAGGTCATGATGATTGCATCCAAACATGAAATAGTCGTAATTTGGTGTTAGCCTCATTTTCTACTCTTATATACACACACACACACACACACACACACAAACACGTATATATATGTAAAATGAAAACGAATAGAGTTCAATTCTGATGTTCGTAATATTCAATTTAAAAGTGGGCTCAATACAAAAGTAAAACAATATTCTTTATTTTAGGATATTACATCAGAACATATAAAAAACACTTCACAAATACAACCATGTTTCGATGCATATTAACACATCTCATCATAAAAAAATGTATATATATATATATATATATATATATATATATATATATATATATATATATATATATATATATATATATATATAAAAAAAGGTTTTAGTAGTTCCAACAAGAAAAAAGTGTTTATATTAAAAAAAGAGAAACTGCAAATGGTTTTGGTTGTAATGTGGATTTTTTAAACAATATATTATGCTTTATTTTCCATAATTTAATATATATATATATATATATATATATATATATATATATATATATACATACATACACACACAACTGGTTTCAGTAAAAACGACTGACAGGGTAATGCAGTTAAGTTTTCACTTAATTATTCTTGTGTTTTTATAATTTTTTTCTTTACTAGACATAAATCATGTAGAAATTGTCCAAATGTCCGAGCGCTTTTGGCTATACTTTTAGCCATTATCAAGGATTATTTTACTTTTAACTGAATTACAAATTAATCCAAATTACAGAGAACCAATATTATTTACAAATTCACATCTCCTTTAAGGAATTGTGATCCTGATCAATCCAAATTCATAAATAATTGGATTGGATATATTATAACATACCTAAAATGAAGACCCACATTAAATCTCTCTGACCATACTCAATTATATCTCATTTAAATACATATGGGGACCTACCAAACCCTATCCACAACATAC